AAAATGGCGCCGGATGCACTTCTCTGACTCAGCTGTTGAGCGCCGTATTAGCGAATCGCCGTAAAGCGGAGCGCCGAAAAGCAGGGCCCTACTGTACGGGGGACAACGCATTTTGTATTACAGATGTGACTTTATAACTTCAAATGGACCTACTTGTGCACGTTGGACAACAATCTCCAGGTGCCGTCTTGCTGCTGCATGAGAGCAGAGGACATGGAACTGTATCACACTTTACAAGATTCTGATGACAGTTACACATGATACAGGGGTCTTGTTTTGATACCCACTGAGAGCCCTCCTCATAGAATTGCATTTCATAATAGCATTTAGTTGCTTCTGGTATGATGCTATCAGCCTGCAGATAAGTACTGCCAGGGACATCATTGTCCGAATACTTCGGCAAGCAGGATAATGGAATTGATATCTAGAACAAACGTGTCATATATGTAAATGTTTATAGGGCAGTGGTAACCATGTATATCATTTACATTAACATTCCTAACTTGATAAGTTATTTACAGCGTCTTTTCATCAGTCCAACCAACGAACCAAAAAGCTAAGGGCGGTGGAGTCCTGCGCAAGCGCAAGACATCGTCCCTTGCTAGGTAACACCATTCCTGCGTACGAAACGCATTGCTGGAAATGGTAAACAGAGCATTATAACTAAAATGAGATTTTGCTCACGCTAACGGGTTTTGTCGTAGCGGGAGCCTCGACCATTAAAACTGGGGTCTGTTTATTTTCATCAGTAACATTTGTTTCTTGAATACATAGCAACAATTTTCTTAAACATTATTAACGTTAACCATATAAAAATTGCAGATTTAAACCCACAAACTCAGGGGCAACTGGAATTAACTCTGGGGCTTTAACATATTTAGTGGTACGCTAATATAACATACGGCCAGCAGGACTGCTCATGAACCATGGCATCACATGATAAAAATTTCTATTTGTAACGGTAATGTAGTTTGATTACTTGGAGGTATGAACCACATTTTAATACCAGTATAATTTAAATGAGTTTTGTCTAGAGTTAATTTCACAATTTTAAATATTTCTTAAAAATGTTCTTTATAATATACAGACAGACAAGCTCCCAGTATTATCACATGTCTATACCTAGTAACGTTTTTATCAGTTGACAGACAAAACTTCATGCGAATATTATGCAGCTACAGCCCCCCTCCATATTTGTACTTTTTAATTTCCTACAAATATGGAGAATTTGCAAAGTTCTGAGGTCACAGTAACTAGCAAAATTTACTGAATTTCTATGTGGCAAGGAAATATAAAAATGTAAGCAACTTCGGTTAAGGTAATTTTGTTTTTTATAAAATGCAGTCATGCCAAATCTATATTTATTTATGATTTTATCACAATAAATAATGAATCACTTAAAGTAGGCATGTGAAGTTGTATTTGAAAACACCATAAAGACATCTAAAATTTATAAATGAAAAACTCTATATGTCAACAAACACAAACATGGCAGTAATGCGAAACTGTGAGGGTATGTTGGAAAAGTTTAATGTACCGTTAGTTTAAATGCGTACAAGTGGAAATATGCACAGAAATAAATCAATAAATAATATAATTATTGATATGAAATTCTTGCTAGTTTCACTGTACGGAATGAAACATCTGAAAGAAAGTAATCGTCATAAGTTTTCCAGAATGATGACTTGCATCAGAAACAGTAAAAAACACACTAAATTAAAATGAACTGAAGATGGCTGCCTCCATCATCAGGGCAATCGCCCTGATGATGGAGGCAGCAAGGACCTCTGAAACGTCGGTAATCTTCTACCAGACTACACTGCGCAACAATCCAGAAGACGGCCATCTTCAGATGAGTGCAATGAAAACCTCAAAACCTACTAAAAATGAACTGCTCACCCGATTAAGTCTTGCACTTAAGAAAACAGATCCCGAAGCTTGATCCTGCAACTCCAAGAAATTAAATCCTGAGTCGATTTTCAAGAATTCAGTCTGTGATATGCCCATCACAAAACCTTCTAGATGATTTCCTCTGAACTCCTCCAAAACTCTCCTGAAGACTGGGGCTCCAGGTATTACAAATGGTAATGTTTTCAAGCAGAGCTCAAGGTTTTGATCTTCTGTGGTCAGGCCCGAGAGCACTACCTGCACATACAACAAAGAATATGAAGACACTAATTCAATTTCAAAGATTATAAAATACACAGACTGATACTGAGTTGTTTATTAATGAAGTATCAGTGGCAGAGATTACAAAACTGGTAAATTTGAAAGGCTGGGGGAAAGTAGTTGGCTTTCATTACTTAACAATGCTAAATAAACTGCTGAGTATGTGCATGCATTACTGAATGGCTATACATCGTTACACAGCTGGGATTAATTTTTGGAATGAGTTATAATTATGAGCGGGGATATTTCAGTCAGTATAGTGACTAGCTATGGGCTGGGCGATCAGGGTTTGATCCCCAATGGGGGCAGAGGATTTTTCCTCTAGCCTCTGCGTCCAGACCGGCTCTGGGGCCCACCCAGCCTCCTGTCCGATAGGTACTGGGGTCCTTTCCTGGGAGTAAAGCACAGTCGGGGCGTGATGCTGACCACTCATCCCCATCTAGTGCCGAGGTCAAGAAAGAGTAGGAGGTATACCTCCGCTCACCCCAAGTGCCTGCAGAGGCGTGTAGCGGAACATTTTAAAAAAGAAAAAAGTATGACATATTAAGAATATCAGAATATTTATTCCTTGCAACAGATTTAATATAACATAATTATAACCTCAAAATGTAAGCTGCACTCTGAATCAATTGCAAGCCAGGCCATTCCAACTAATGTAGCCGGTGCCGTTTCATCTAGTCTCTTGAGCAGTATCGGTGAGTGGGAATCTCTGGCATCGGCCACTGGCCTCGGTACCAGTCTCCCGCTCACAAGGCTCGGTTCCATCCTCGTTGCAACATTTAGAGCCAGTTCACCAGCATATAACTGCTCAAGTTCACGTGCACTAAGCCTGTCTAATGTACCTGTTTACAAACGCAAAGAATTAGTTAATGACAGGAGCACTTAAGCGCATTTGCCGCCAGTCACATCGCATTTTGCCTGTGGTCTTCAGTTCAAGATGACAGGAGGTGGTAACCAACATTTTCGAGAAACCTGTCACTTCAATCTTTCACCCTGAAGATGAAGGCGTCAGGTTCCTATAAAACATTGCTAACCACCTAAACACTAAGAAGACCACAATTCAAAATTTCACTACTGTGGAAACCTCAAATCTCATAAAAGGCATCAATGTTCACGCACACAATACAGTAGGGCCCCGCTTTTCGGCGCTCCGCTTTACGGCGATCCGCTAATACGGCGCTCAACAGCTGAGTCAGAGAAGTGCGTCCGGCGCCATTTTCTCGTCGCTGATTCAGTCTGTTTACAGCTTTTGTGCGCTCCGCGTCTCTCTGTATTTCTGGCAATTTTTCAGTTATTACAAACTGTATATTTATATAATATTTTTGTGTTACTACATTGTAATTACAAAGGCGTCTAAGGGTAGTAGCGATAAAAAGAGGAGTCGTAAGCCTCTTACTTTAAATGCCAAGTTAGAGATGATTAAACTTCGTGAACAAGGCATGTCTATGGCTTCCGAACCATCACCAAAACGAATAAGATTCGTTGAAGTGTCAGATGATGAAGATGCGTCATCTCCTGCATCCTTCCTACTATTACCATATCAATTTTCAAATTTACATTCACCAATCACTATAAGCTGAGGACAATGTGTGTATTACTGATATTCATTTTAATTTCATATCGTTTTCTTAGGCCTAGCGCTATTGTGCACTTACTATATGATAGTGTAACATCTTATTAGGCTTTGATATGCATTTACAAGTGAAATAAGGCAAAGATCCGCTTTACGGCGATTTTCGCTTTACGGCGGGGGTCTGGTCCCTAACCCGCCGTATAAGCGGTGCCCTACTGTACAGTGAATTTCTCAGTACAATTATAATTGAAGTAATAATTCATTTTTGTAATTTGTATGGTATCTTAAGAGGCCTGGTATTAAGGGAGGAAAGCATGCTGAGGAGAACGCCTAAATCCGATGGATGAAGTGACAGAAGCCTGGAGGAACGTGCATGACAGAGCAACTCCACAATTTGAGCTGATCACTGAATATTACAACAAGTTCCATGAATATTCATGACATTTGTAAATTAAGATTGACATACCATTTGCCCAGCCAGAGCTCAGACTCGGAGTAAGATCCTCAAGTTCCACCATAGAACGTCTTCCACCATTGCGATGACCTGATACCAGAACGAGCATTGGCGAATCATGATGGCTGAGTTCATCCAGCTGTACACTATAAACTAGTGATCCATCTCGATTCACGTACATCCATGCCATGCCAGATGTCGACGTCTGAGCGGACACCAATTTTTCAAAATCTTCATCTTCACCATTACTGTTTTCAGTGTCTGCTGATGACAACACACCCTACAGGTATTGGGGTAATATTATTGAAAACAGAAATCAAATCATATGCAACGAGACAAGTATTTCGTGACAGCTAGGTCAGTGTCTGTCACTGTCCAAGTTCCAATATAAACAATGTGAAAAGCTGTATGCCTTGTAACACCAGGTTTAGTCATTCTGAGGTTCATGGAAATAACGTGAAAACAAAGAGTGGAAATAAATACTCCAATCTGGAGTACATATAGTCTCTAATCACATTCTTAATTTTCACACCTAACTAGCCTTGGTGTTCATTTACAGCAATGAGTATGAAGATTTCTGTCTTCTGGGCTGTTGCACTGTGTAGTCCGGTCGATGTTAACCAACGTTTCATCGCCCTGAAGACGGAGGCAGTATGACCTCTGAAACGTTGGTTAACATCGACCAGACTACACAGCGCAACAGCCCCGAAGACAGAAATCTTCAACGTGTCATTCATACAAAGCAATACATATTGCGGAGAGCCAGAAATTATCTTCCTTTGTCCTGCATTAAATATTCACCGATCTATCAATTAAATGTTACTGGTCTTCAAAGTAATGCTATATTTTCTACATGATAAGCCATTTCTGATAAATCATATTAAGTTTAATACAAAGTAAGAGTTACATTAAAGATGGCTGTCTTCCATGTTATAGCACTGTGCGGCATGGTAGAAGTTTACCGACATCTCAGGAGACCTTGCTGCCACCATAATCAGGGCGCCCTTATGATGGAGGCAGCAAGGACCTCAGAAATGTTGGTAAACTTTTACAAAACTACACAGTGCTACAACCCAGAAGACAGCCATCTTCATATTCACCGCTGTGAAAACCTCAAATGCAACAAAAGTTACATTGGAACAACATAAAAAAATATTAATTTACGCAAGTTAAGGTAGACCAGCCTCGAAGTCTACATTCTATTGATATATTTTCTGCAGTTCAGAGATGAACCGTGCAGATGAACTGATAGATGCAGTGTCTCCATAACAATTTCATCTCTTCACTTTGAGCAAAATATTCATAACAGGATGTGAATTTCTGATTTATTAAAAGAATGTGATCACAACGTGTTACGTTAATTTCAACTTCCTGAAACCCAGATACAAATATATGCTTAGAAAAAAAACATGTTATGTGATTTTGTATGTGGTCATTGGATATAATTATAATGTATTCTTCTCCGGCTACCGGCTACGTCAGGTGGCTGAATGTAGAAAACACCAACATTACTGAAGTACTGAATTCCCTGAGGACGAGGACAAAGATAATTCTCGAAACGTTGGTGTTTTTATCCATTCAACCCTGAGAAGAATTCATTATATTTAGTCACCACGAAAGCTTCAGATCATACATGGAAATAATTTCTTATCCTTCACATTATTTTAAGCACTTTCTATGCTTTTATAAATCTGTAGCCCTTCAGATTTTGGGTGCTATAGTTTTGAAGGCAGATGGATGGAACTGGCAAACAAAATGGAAGAGAAGACAATAGCTGGACTGAATATACGGATGGTTTGAGGGCGGAGTTACAGACAAACGAATGGTAACTGGACAGAGAATAATCAGGTGGTTAGAGCTCGTTCAAAATCAAAAAAGGTTTCATTTCAGAACAAACAGGAGTATTAATATTCTTGGCTAAACATTTCTAATTCATTTAGTATTTTATAAACACAAGAATGAAAAAGTTTCTTCCATTTTGTTGCAGAAGTTACCTGAAATATTTCGCACGTGGCCCGTGTCATTACTTTGCCTTCCAACCTCAGCTCTGTTGGTTTCTTCTTTGAAGCTATGGATAACACCAGCTTCCCCCTTGTCAGCAATCTCAATTCTGCACTTGAAACAGCAGTTTGAACTTCTACAACGTTCAGTTCATGCGCTGGCTTTTCCACCTTCACCTCCTGCAAAAAACAGCTGACATTAGGGTGCACTCTGAATCTAGTGAAGTTAGTGCACACCGAGCAAATTTAGCAGAGGCACGATCAAGTCATGAAAAACAAGACGAAAAAGATGTCCTCCAGTTTCAAATGGGAAAATTTTAAAATGCATTTTGTGTGATTTTGCATCTGGCCATCCACTTACTGAATATTCAACCTATTAAAGTTAATTAAAAAAGTAAAGCTGTCCCAGTTTACGCCATGTAGGCGCTTGGAGGGGAGAGGCGGTATAGCTCCTACTCATTCTTAACCTCGACACTAGGTGGGGGTAGTGGTTAATGTCACACCCTGACTGCACTTTACCCCCAGCAAAGGACCCCAGTACCCAATGGATAGGAGGCTGAGTGGGCCCCAAATTCGATTTGGATGCAGAGGCAAGAGGAAAAATCCTCTGCCCCTCTATTTTACTACAACCCATATGACAACCTTCTTCATACTCACCGCAGTGAGAACCCCAAATCCTACTTAATTTATCCTTCAACACTGTTAATAATTTTTTTCAATAATATTCTATCTATTACTACTCAGAACATCACAATCTGAATTCTCACTGATATTAAAACCTAAAATCTTTAAATATAAGGAATTACATTCTTGAATGTTATAACTATGTATGAAAATTGTTTTAAAATTCAAGGCGCAAGAGGCTGTGTTTAATATTTGTTAAATAAAATACTATACAACCATGCCTGATTATAATATTAACCTCTTGGAGTACTACTTGCTGCTTTTCAAGCGATTCAAGCCGCACGACTAGCGGAACATCAGCAACATCATCGGGGGAGAAGACGCCATTGAACACTACTGACACATGTACTGACGGAGCAGACGATGACACAGACACGATAGCTGTCCCGCCAGCACCATTCATCATTAGTGAATCTGTCCCTGGGGCTGGCTGCATGAGTGACGTGAACAGCTCGGTGCTCAGTGAGCGATACCTAGAACATCACCAAAACAGTCCAATGAGATCAGTTCCTTCTAATGGGTCCAACCATGTACGTTTACCCAAGGATGGGAGGACGATGTAGAGCCATCGCCCAAAATGTAGTGGTTTTTTGAGGAAGCACAACAACGATTCAAAATATCCAAAAACTACAATTCGTGATTCAACCTGTCAGTAACATTTAGAGATGAATCCCCAAAACAATGTGCTTAAAATTAAACAGCTTACTTATGTCACTGTTACATATTCATTCCATAAAATGAAGTTTTCAGCGCTCAACTGGTAGCTGTCTAGATGTCTGGACACATCTATTCCGTAGCACAGTACTCCGTATAAGGTATTCATGTAAAATTAAACAATTAGCCTCTAAAGGTTACCTCAACAGTTACATCCAGCCACTATTTCAAAGGCAACTTCATTTAAACTTCTGACAAAATAATCACAAAGCAGTTAGGTAAATTTTGTTTATATATTTCCGTGATTGTTGCTCATTTTCAGACGCAATTTAATCAAGTGTTAATTCTTCTGCTCCTTAACCTCAACATGTGTTATAGTTAATAGCCATTCAGGAATAGATCATTACAAACATCTGCACTCACTAAATCTTTCCACCCATTTGCAAACTTTCCACTGTCTTACTGAACTACCGCTCTATCGTAAATTTTACAAGTTTCCTCATTCTCCGACAACAAAAATCAGATCACATATTGTTCCTCTTTAACGCATCTTATGAAGCAGCCACGTTAAACATGTTACAGTATTATTATATTAATAATAGCAACAACTACCATTACTTCAACCCTGAAAATGGAGACAGTATGTTTCTCCAAATCATGGTATATACCACTATAGCCTGGAAAACCAACACTAATATCCTTATCACCTTGAGTATTTCAAACTTCAAGATTCATATTGTTTACATCCACCATCTTTTTCAGTGTTGCAAACATCACTTTCGAAGTGAACAAAAATAGCCTTTACATTTTGACTTCCTCTCAGGTATTTCTTTCTTTTCTCTTGTTTTTTTTTTTTTTAATTTTGCTGTGCTGTGTAGTCTGGTAGAATTTTTTGATATCCCAGAGATATTTGCTGCCTCCATCATCATGGCCGCGAAAACCTCAAATCCTACTGAAAATGCTATTTGTCACTCATGAATGAAATCTCACCTTGCCACCTGCCCACTGAGAACGTACTGCTCCTGATCTGCGGCACCCCACAGCAAAGAGACAAACATCTTCTCTTCCCTCAGCAGTCGGCGGTAGTCTCTTGGGACTCTCCGCCACACTCCACACACCTACGCAAACAGAAAAACATTCCATGATTTTTAATTGGCGCACACAACTCGTAACAAAATAAAGGGTTTTGCACAAGAAATTTCGCAGTTTAAGGAGAACTACATAATCGTTGATTAAACACAACGACATGAGATCTGGGGGTCTCACCTTGGTAGAGATATTGATGTTTGTCTTCTGGGTCGTAATGCCATGCGGACTTATACGTACATACCAATAGTTACGCCATAAATGTAGCTCATATGAAAATAATACGCTCAAAACAAAAAGTTATTAAGCTATTATCTGTAAGTCAAAATTTGTTTTGTAATTCTATCTTATCAAATTCAATAAATGTTTAAATTTGAATTCTGGCATTAGTGGACAATTTGCACATAATTCAAAAGCAGGTTTCTAAATTACATTATATGAGTGCAAACAAAATTTCCTTTTTCAATGTTTACTTCATCCTCACATTCAATTCTTAAAAACAATTCTGTTATCCTTGGAGAAATGAAATTGACATGAACGTAGAAAGATTTTATGAAGCTGCTGACAACTGATTACAGTAATATTTTGGGTGCTTTTTTCTCTTAGTAGAAATTTACCATGTTTTTTTTAAAAATGTAAACTCAAGAACCCAAACATCACATTTCTCAGATCAACTATATAATTTTTAAGAAATTTAATGATTTTCGTACCTTGCCAGTTACATTCTGATACACGCTGGTAACTCCATCAATCAACAAAGCCTGTTCCCCGAGTATATTGCCCTCAAAGTCAGCAAACTGCAGGGCTCGAGGGCGGTACAAGGGATCAGACACGTAGAAAGAATAGAAGAGGTTCTTGCGATGGAAGGTGAATCTACCAGTAGCAACAAAGTTGCTGTTGCTGATCTGCTGCAGACCAACAGATGGCAACCCGTCATCTCTGTGGAAGACGGAGGATGTTCGGCCAGTCAGCAATGTGGCAAAATCTGCGATATAAATCAGGAGAGTTGCTGCGACAACTTTCAAAACAGTACAATGACGGCAATGCCGGTAATTCGAGAAAAAAATAGCAGTCACTAGTTACCAACTTTGCATTAGCCATAGAAGTGGAGAGAGTACAGGAAAGTATCAGTCATGACAACTGGACTCTACACAGAGATTTGAACCCAGAACCTCTTGAATACAATGAAAAAACAAACAATTACAAAGTTAGAAAGCTAATTACTTTCTTAGTAAGACAAATGAGTGATGGCTGGTGAGTGTGTTAATTATTTTATTACATTTTTTCCTTAATTCGTTAGTTTGTTAGTTCATTAGTGAAATGGATAGTTGGTAAATGATGTAGTTTAGTTTGTCAAGAGCATAGTTCGATACTTATTTCATTAGTTTATTTGTTTGGTAAAACCAAGAAAGTGAAATTGGTCCCCACGTACGCTTCATGTTTCTCTCTTCTTCCTCAGGTGTCAGCACTGATGGGATGTCATGGAGCACATCTGGGCCTGAAACAATTAAATACAATTAAGCGCAATACCACTGGTCACCAGCTTCTCGCCATGGAAGCCCCCAAGGGGCATAAGCCCCACAGATTGTCTGCTTCCATAGGTGGTCAAGACCCTCTGGGGAAAGTCCTGGTCTTCTGGAGGCCTGGATGATCAAACCTGAGATGGTAAAAACCCAGAGATTTACAAACCAGCAAGGGTAGGCCCACGGGAGAGAGGGAGGGGTAGAACTGTGGGGAAAAAGCCCGGTGTGGAAGTCCCCAGGGGGAAGAATTATCGCTGTGTAAACCCCATGGTTCGTTTTGCCCCTTGGAGGAAGCCCCGAGAGTTGCCTAGCTCCTAGGTCGAAAAACGTGATCGTGAGAGACCGTTCGACTTGCCTTGTTCCTCAGCTTCAAATGTGCTACGTCAATGTCTTTCAATCTACGGGTCACGGCCGATCTGTGGGTCGCGGTAATTTACCAGGCCACAGCTGATCAGGCGAAGTAACGAAAAGTTAGTCACTTCAGATACACGTTACAAATATTTTATAAATTACAATTTATATTTTAAATTTAAATTTAAATATAAATTAAATAATATAAATTTGAACGTCTGTAATGAAGCATCCTGTCGTGAATTGCTGTACGTGGCACACAAAAAGCTTAAAAGTTATATTACTATCAACTAATAACCTAACCCAACTAAGCTTTTCTATAATGTAGTTTATACGCATATCTCCTTTCCACGGACTGGCTTCATCGTTGCTGTATTAATGGGGATACCATCGGAATGGAATATGATCGTTAAAGAACAACTTGTTATGGTTTCTTTCGAAAAAATGCATCCGGAGAACGCAGTATGTGCTGATTTGTCCGTCCATCTGATCCAATTCGAAAACCACTGGACAGATTGGAATAAAATTTGGTATGGAAGTTGTGACACTGAGAATAACCTCAAAATCCGTACTTTTAAACATCCTACGACCAGTGATAAGACAATGGCAGATGAGGAAAGCTGTGAGTTGTAGCAGGTCAGTGAGGTGCTACGTTCTGGTGGCCAAAGTTGTAATTATCGAAATTAGAATTTATTTATAACGGTTATCATGGTTACCCATGTAACCATTGTTACCACTGTGACCTTGGCGACCATTATAATGCGTTCTTTAAACGTTTGCCGAAATTTCGAGTGTAGGAATTTTGGATTTAAGATTTTTTTAAAAAATGTGGGTATTTTAAATTTTTATTTTTTCTTCTAGTTTTTGACATTTTTTTGTTGTTGCAAATTTTGAATTTTAAGGTAATCCACTACGTTTTGAGATCCACAAACGTTTTGTTTAGAAACATGAAGACTTGCTAGAGCAGTGGAATGAATCTACTGCTGTGCCCATTAATAAGAAAGCGATCAAACTGACTACAGTAGTTAACTATCGAGGAATATCACTGTTATGAGCCACTTGTAAAATCTTATCCAGCATTCTTGAAACATTTTTAGCTGACTGCCCGTTTACTAATTTATTTTTCACGAAAATGCTTGAGGCCATTTTATAAAAAGCTGTCAAGTTTGGCACACAGCCCGGATTTTTTTTTATATATTTACGAAAATATCGTTTTAAAAATACGAGCCAGTTTTTTTCCGACGTATGCTTTGTTGTTTTGTTTTTAATAACTCTCCATGCGCTTCTATATATCGACGAACAGCCAAGGATTCGAAAATGGTAACAGTACAGTAATTAAACTCTCGTTTTCATTATCTTTTGGTATGTTTAATTACCTTTTCAACTGCATTTGTTGTAAAACGTAGAATGGTAGGGTATTTGCGAATAACCAATCGTAAAAATACATTGAAGGAAGTTGTGAAATCAAAATAATCGTCTAAATAACATTTAAGATGCATTTGATGTCTCAAAGAAATCAACGCACCTCTATTAGACAGATCGATTAGTTAATGATGTTTATGGAAATAATCGATATTTAACTATGAGAATCATACAAAACACATAAATACACTATGTGGGTAAAATTATGAGTTACTGATTATTGAATGAGGTGGTACATACAGTTGCAACTTGGCTTTCAAAATTTAAGGGCGGCCTGCTAACCCCATTGCAGGATTTTGCTGAAGGGACTGAGGAATCCCATGACAAAGCTCGTTGCTTCGATATCGCTTTGATTCAAACAAGATGAGAATTTTAATTATAAAACGTCATACTCTCACAACACGGTTGACACTAATTAATGAATCATTAAGAAGAACACGGTGTCGCGCTGCAGTACGCCCGCATTATTTTTTCTTGAAGTTATCTTCTGTTTTACTACAAAAATATAATAAATTAATGGTTTAAAAATATCCATACAAACGAAAATGACTCTCGTCTGGGATAGTGGGCCGTGCAATCTGACAGAATTTTACCGACGTTTCGGAGGTGCTTACTGCCTCCATCGTCAGGATGGCGCTGTCATGAGAACCTGAAAGCTTCCAATTAGATAATTAAACAGAGTTAAGTTCAAAACAGTTGCCATGCAAGATTAATCTAGTGTGAGAACATCGATATTTTTGCGAATTTAATTCTGTAAACTTTCTTCGGGCATCACTCTTTTTGTTCAAAGCCCTTCACAGAATTGTTTACTAGACTCAGATTTGTATTAAACCGAGGAAAAGAACCGACTGAGCGTCCTTCTATTCGACGCTGCATTTCCCAGGAACTAAATCTTCCCTCGGTGGCCAGTCCTCAACATCGAAGGAGTTATTTTGACGTTTTGTTCGCAAACGGAGGAAAAGGCAAATATTACGGAAATCCATTTTGTAACTCAAGCGAAATCACTGTGACCTTGAACTCACCACTTATCTGCCGACGACGCATATGGGACCTGCTGTCATGTTCCCTTCATCCCAGCGGTATCGAAGTCTCTTGTCCCCATTATGCACCAAAACCATCTTTAAACTCTTCTTAAGACACGCGATAATAATCGCCATTCTTCAGCTTTGCGTACTGATTCGAGTTCTTCTGACATTCCACTTACGACTACTAGTAGGTACACGCAAGGGGAATCCTGCAATTCATAAAACGTTGACAATTCGTCTTTGTAAACACATAAATCTTCGTACTTCCAGCCTGTAAATTCCACTGTTGTAGCCTTGATCTCAGAAGTCTGCTTCTTACTTTGACAGATTTAGATCACGAATTATACACCACAAAGTTCACTTTGTTCAATTAGAAGTGGTTCTTGGAAAGCCTACGTAATGTAACTTGATGGGTCTTATATACACTCCACTTGGACTTAATTAAAGAGTATAAAGTTCATTTAAGTTAGTTGCTGGTGGTACAGCACTAGGAAGATATTCTTCACGTGACACTGGCTTCATTGTAGAAGGAATGTTCGGATAATGTACTTTAGGACCCAAAGTTACCGTAGGCCAGAAACTGCAGACATCGATGTTTGGTTGTCATGGAAACTTCAAATGGCATACTCCGTTCTTTCCTTTTATCCATTCGACCACGCACGCAACGCGCATGCAGGAACCAACTTTTGATATATACTTGTTACAGCCAGACGTAAAATGTTTTCTTGATGGTGTCATATGTCCATGTTGTCTGAAGAGTAATCTATCCAAAGAAAAACAAAGCCAACACAAAAGACAATCGGCTTCAAATGTGCTTATGACACACCCATACCATCCAGTTCTGCCAACTTTCACTAAGCGATGATTACTTTATTACCGTATGTATGGAAAATGTTAATTGCAGTTTTACTGAAACTTGCGACGTGATGTAAAATGTGCACGTCCAGATTTGGAATCAGAACATCAGATTTAATTAAAAGACTTAGTTTTAGTTTATATTACCACAATGAACTTCACTTCTGAACCAGCGCCAGACTTGGCACTGACGTCAATAGTTTGCCATCCCTGAGTTACAGAATTGGCGCCACGATTCAGTTCCAAAGATTCTCTGTAGATGGCTGTAGATGGTTGTTTACAAATACCAGCACCAACATAATACGGAACCTCGCGCTGAGATGGGGATATGTGATGTAATTCAACGGACATTTTTAAGGGCAGTCCTTGCACATTACGAGACCCAGGGGGGGCTGTTTCGGGCCACAACCACAACACCGACTGTTACGACATTTCAGTTATTTAAACACCCTCTTTCAACTGCAAAGGTTATATTGCTTATAACGATATCACGAATTGTACAGGAAGGATTCGGAAGGAGATGGTCATAAAGGATCTATTCAGTTGGAAATATTGAGGAAAAACACGAAAAATAATATGCCACGATAGCATTTAACCCAGTCAAGATTCGACTTTGGTACGTCCCAAATACAACAATGCACAACTGCAGCTACATTTACCTACTAAGTCGAAGCCATGAGAAAACAGAGTCAAGGTCTTGCTAACAATCGGTAAGATAACCAACGGGCAGTGAGAGTCGAAGCCATGGCTTTAGCATGCATCCATGGGTGCTTTAAAACATGCTTAAAGTAATATTGACAGTCGTCACTAATTATACATAACCTCACTATAGACTTTACCTTGCACGCGGAATTTAAGAGCAGAAACACACTCTGGTGCTCGAAATCATTTGAAGATTGTTGCCTTAACCTCTTTCCTGATAATCCCTGGATATCTGGGGCTTGATTTTTGTAAGAAGTATTAACCTCAGTTAACTCGGGACAATATTATCTCTTCCGCCCTATTAATTCGATGAGAAAATTCGTACATCAGACTGTAGATGTCAGTAAATGGCGGATCACTGAACTTCCATAAGCCAAGTGCTTTTGTACATTTTAAGCTAGATCGCGCACAAATATGGGGACTGTTTATGTTTCTGTAGCACGTGCTATTAAGCCCCCATGTTCGCTGCGGTATCATTTGTGCAGAAGTTAATTTTACCAACAACGGAAAGAGACACGAACAATGGAAAGTCACCAGAGATAACTCGGGTAAAGAATTATTACAATCGATATAAATAACATTTCGTAGAGTATGATTGAATATTTTCATCAGAACACAAA